GCCTTGCAGGTTTCCTTTGAGGAAGCACCCTGTGGAATAACCACAGCAGTTCCTTATTGTCCCTCTTGCCCTGAACACCTTGGGTGCCGTGCTGCTTCCAAAGCCAGTGTGGGCTCCCCAGTGCCCATGGGGGAAGCTGGAGCATCTCCCAAGCCTTTGGTGGGCCCTGGCCAAGGCCTGGACACAAAAGGGCCTTTGTTCTACTGGACATCATGTTCTGGGGCTGTTACTGCACAACACCCTTCCCAACACACTGAGACACCCCTGCTCCCCGCCAGGTGGGTCAGGGTGGTCAGCTGGGGAGGGAAGAGAAGGGGGTGGCCCCTTGGTTTTCACAGGACCTGTGAGAGATCCTGGGTGTGTGTCCCAAAACCTCCTGGGAGCAGGGGGTTGGTTCCCAAAAGCAGATGAGAGCCTGAGTGTTGCTACCCTGGAATAAGAACAAAATCCCCCCCTTCAGCAGACCTGAAACCCCATTAGCACAAGGCTCCATTAAGCAAGCACTGCATGTGCTGCAGGAATTACTCCCCAGAGGCAGAAATAAACAGACATTAAAAGCAAAATTAAAACAACTCCCACCAGTTCAAACAGTTGGAGATTTCACTGCTCCTTTCCATCTGTCCCACCAGCAAAGCCTGTTCTCCTGATGGCAGGTACAGGTGAGGGGTATCAGGCATCCTGGGGGAAGGGACTGGGTCACAGCCAAAGGCAGGAAAAGCCCCCAGAGCCTGGGAACAGGGGCAGCATGAGCCCAGGAGTGGGTCTGGGGGAGCTGCACCTATCACAGTCTTCACTCTTTTATTTCAGCTGATAAAAATAAACCCAAGCAGGGCCCTGGTGCGGGGTTATTCCTTCAGCTGACTGAGGAGACGCAAGAAAACAGGTTTGGGTTTGTTTTGTCAAGGCCAGGTTTCCCCCAGGCCAGCCTGGGAGCAGCAGGAGCACACGGAAGGGGCTCATGCTGGGAGAGAAGCGGATGCTCCCAGAGTGGATTAACCCCCAGCAGCAGCAGCGGGAGGGCAGCGGGTGCCAGGGCTGTTAATTACTCATCAAGAAAGCAAAGAGAGATGAACAGGACCTGCCTGGGATTAACTGAGCCCAAAAGCCTCCCCAGCTTCACTCACTCAGCTGCTTCCTGAGAGCAGAGCCACACACGTCCCTGGGCTTCTCCCTGTAGTGCTCAGTGGTCCTTTACCTGCTTTGAAAGGATTCAATTCCCAGCTGGATACTGATTCCTATTCCTGATTCCTGGTTTGGGCTGTTCCTTTGCTGGCATCAGTGCAGAATCAGGCCCTGGGATGAAGAACAGCTGTGCCCAATACCAGCATCCCAGTTTGGGGTGTGGCCTAAATATTTCTGGGGGGCAGAGGCATCATGTAGGGGCAAACCACTGGTTGCATCCCATATCCAAGATCCCATAATCCTGATGCTCACTCTGGGCATTTTTGGGGCCCCAGCACTGTGGGTGCACAGTCTGGGGCTGTCCAAACCCAACCTACCCACTCCGTGTGCAGAAAAACAGGGAATATTACAGCTCATTCTGCTAGGAAAGGAAAGGAGGGCTGCTCATTGCACACAGGGGCCTGGACAGTGGGCAGGGATTGTTGTAATTTAATATATTAGAGCAAAACCCCACTTCATGTGCAGGTGAACTCTGCCACACCAGCTGGATGCTCTCCATCCCACACAGCACCGAGGGCTCTCAGCTTCAGCATAAGGAAAAATGAGGTGATTTCTAAGGGAGGTGGGGAAAGGGGCAGCGCTGGCTGCTTTGTATTCTGCTACCGAAAGGACAGAGGAAATTAGTTTTCTTTAAGCAAGCTTTAAAAGGACAGGAAATATCGTGGCTATTTCGGGCTGCCGGCCTGTCCTCAGCTTACCCCAGCCAGCAGCACTGGGATGGGAGCTGGGTCAGGCTTCAGTGGCTCAACCCAGGTGGAGAAGGGTAAGGATGGGCTGGGGATGGAGATGGGCATGAGGAGGGAGGTTGTGATGAAGATTAGGGTGAGCATGGGGCCAGGGATGGAGTTGGGGATGAAAATGAGGAGAAGGCTGGGACCAGGAATGGGCTTGGGGATAAGAATGGTGCCAGGGATTGGGCTGGGGCTGAGCTCACCTGGGACAGGTGCTCAGCACTGGGGGAATCAGTGCCAAGTGCTGCTGGCAGTGGGCAGAAGCACAGAGCCCATCCCCAACCCATGAGTGGAACATCCACAGCGGTTCAGGTTTCCCAGAGCCATCGTGGTCCTACCCCAGCACTCAGAACCGGCCTGGCAGAGCCAATGCTGGCACAGCAAACAGCTTTTATCTGCCCCATATCCCAGTCTGCTTGTACTGGGAGATTATTTTATCGTGGAACCACTTTAAACTGAGCCCCTCTGAGAGCCCTATAGCTAAAATGTCAGTAAAACACAAAGGTGGTGTTACTCTTTTGTCTTCTTTTTCTAAAAGGTGGAGCAGGATCCTGGCAAAGTCCTCTTGACACCCCCAGCCAAATGGGGGACCCCCAATTTCCAAGAGACTCCAGCCCAGCCTGATGGAAATGTTGGAGTCGATTCAGGTCAATTAAAATTGAGGTTTTTATTGAATTAAAGTGTTAAAGTAAGCACAGCCAGTCCAGTATTTGGGCTGGTATTTTTTATGTTAATTGAATTTTTTTCACCCCTCTCATAAAAGTGATTTATAAGTTAGTAGGGATTCCTGGGCTGGAGGAGACCTGGGAGATGGTTCTAGAGCTTGGAAAGGAGATGGGACACGTTTCTTACACCTGGGAAAGTTTCAGCAGTAGTTCGGACGTGAGGAATAAAAGTGTTTCTGGCAGCAGCAGACAGGTAAAATGCAGGAAAATAGCTGGAAAGTTCCTCATGGGATGCACTGCCTTGGCTGGGGAGCCCAGGTTGTCTCCAAGGCTGCCTAAGCCTGGGAAGGAGGTGGATTTTGAGCTCCAGCTGGGATCAAACCCCTGAATTTGCTCTGGTCAGCACAATAACTCACATTGGCCGAGTCCACTGGCTACAAAAACATTAATTAAAACAGGTCCCACATGGGCAGTGCCCCACCAGCCCAGGGATCAGCAAGGCCAGAGCAGAGGAGGAGCCTGGTGGGGCCTGGACCTTCTCTGCATTTTTAATGCCTCTGAAAGATTTTCTTTCCAAAAAGCTCCCGATTGCGGCTGGCTGTGCAAGCCGAGTATTTTTAGCAAGTATTCATGCAAAACAGCTCAGGATAATAATTTGCAATGTAAAGTTAGAGGCTTCCACAAAAACTCAGAGTAAGCAGATTTGGGTCAGCAGGACTTTGTGCTGATTTTGCTGAAAGGAACCATCCAGCCAGGTCCAGGGGAGCTACATGGGGCTGGTCACTGAGTTTTTTAGGTTAATAAACCCCCACTGTGCCCACAGGACCAAAACTTGAAATCCTTCCATGGACTGAGATCTGCAAAGTTACAGATAAATGTTTCACATGTAAATAGTCACATCCAGCATGACAGTCACCAGGAGTCCTCCCTGCTGGACTCACATTTCTTCCCCATCTCCCTTTGCCTCTTGTTGCCATCATTGATCCATGAGCAGGAGGGAAAAGCTTTTAGGAAACAGCGTTAATAAACCCAGCTCCTCAGCCAGGGGTGAGCAGAGAAGGTGAAGGGTGCCCAGGGGCTGCAAAGCTCTGTGTGGGTGGGTGGAAGTTTTATTGCTGTGAGGACACTCACAGCCAATGCAGCATCCAACCCAGGTTACCTGCAGCAGAACAACGAGGGAAAGAAGTGTCTCACATTTTTAATGATTTTAATAAAGAAGAGAAGCATCTCTATAGATAGGACAAGACTGGGCACCACATCCTTCATTTTCAGCATGACACCATCTCATTTTCTCACACCTCTGTGGCCCAGAGGAAAACCCTCCCATGATTTTCCCGCTTCCTCAGCGTGAAGGGAACTTCTGTCCGAAGCAAACAACCGGAGTAAATTAAGGATGAAATGTTCCAGCCCCAGAAAAAATTTTTGTCAAGGCTGGGTCAGCACCTACCAGCTGATGATTTCCACCTCTGTCCAGTTCCTTACACCTGGGGCAGCAAATGCTGCTTATTTTAGTGTAAAATGGGGTTTATGTGTTTAGACTTTGTCATAAAGGGTTAAAATTAAAATTTAACTTTAAAATGGGTTACTTTTAAGCTGCAAGTCCATATAACATGTGACCAATTGCAATGTGAGGCCTCACAGGCTGCCTGCAAGCTTGGTAAAAAACTCACTTTTAGCAGAGATTCGTTAACAGAATTAGAACTGCAGCAACTTAGAAAAAAAACCCAATACCAGATGGGTGCTGTTCACTAAATGGCTTTTTCCAGTTACATATATTCTGCTTTTACCAGCTGTTATGGGCTAAAAAAAGTCCATAATCATAAATGTTAATAAATACAGTACAAGTACAGGGCTTTTTTTCCTCCTGTTTTGCTGCCATTCTTTGGGATTCATATTCTTTAAGCTCTTTTCTGCACCACAAATACAAATTGCCTTTTTTTCTTTTCCTTTCCTTTGTGTGAAGAAACACCTCTGCAATCCCCAAGATTCTTGCTTTGGGACTTAATTTTGTCCTCACACCAATACTGAACAACTCTTAGAGTTATTAAATAGTAAGTGCTCAACCCACTTAATAATTATTTGTACTGTGTTTTGAATACACAGAACATCAGGGCACCATGCAGTCTTGTCACTGCGTGTGAGATGCACATTTCTGGGTATTTTCAGGCAGCAGAAGGACTTTGAACATTTTCATGAGGAAAAAGTCAAAACCAGGGAATGGTACAGCTCATCAGCACCTGAACCTGATGAATGGGTTTGTTCTCCCTTCCCTCAGAGCCAACTGAGCTCATCCCAGGCCAAAACACAACACAGAGGTCAAAACCCTTTGGAAGAGAGAGATCCTTTTACCCAGACTTATTCCCAAAGTGTGTTACTCTGTGCTGGGTGGAACAATACGGACTGACAACGTGAGCAGTTCCAATTGCAAATAAAAAAATCTTTATTGCATCTTAGAAGCAAGTCTTAAAAAAAAAAACAAAAACAAAAACAAAAGAAACAAAGAAAGGGAAAAAAAAAAGAGAAGGAAAAATTTTCCATGCACCTACATCCTCAGGACTGTCACCAGAAAAGGATGAACATTGTAAGACACAGACTCTATGCTAGTTGCAGTTCATACTCCACACACGTGTAAACAATGTTATTTCTTCTACTGGAATAGCAGTTGCTCCATAATATCCCTTCAAACATGGCAACAACCACTTAAGCCTTGGATTTTCTCCATTTGTTCACTTGCCTCCACTTCCCAAAGAGTAGAAGTGGAACTGAGGGCAATGAGATGAAATGGGGCTGGAGGATACGATAGAAAAATATATTGTTCGCTGGTTTTTATTTTTTGTTTCTGCTGAGCAGGATATTTACAGGTACATAGGTCCCAAGAGATCATCTGCTTCAATGACAATGTCCAGTCACTGTCCAAGTCTTGGAGTACAGGGTTCCCTATCTGGCTTTAAGGCACTTTATTTTGTGTATTTTCTCTTACCTTGCTAGGTGTTAACTCACAGGGATCACATTTCCCTTGTATTCAGCCTCCTCATCCCCAGTTCCTCTTAGAATACCAAAAAAATTCCTAAACTCACTGAAGTCATTCCAAAAATGTTAAATTTGGGAGGGGAGGATAAAAAAAAAAAAAGATTCATGAAAAAATATTTTAGAAAGTAATCTTTGGAGATCATTTACTGTAAGTATGATGTACACTACCTTATCAGTGAGAAGATGCAATACATTCCTAATATATATATATATATTTACACACACATATATATATATATAAAATATTAAAATGACTAACAGATATTCAAGGAAAGGTCAAGAACCTAAAACAATGGATATTAAATAAATTAACGGTCTAGCAGATACAGGGAAAAAAAAAAAATCCCAAAACAAAACTAATAATCCAATGTAATAACTGTTCTCATTAACATCACGTGAGCGACTGAACGAAACCGGTGCGATCGGGCGCGGGACACTCGGTGCAGAGGAGTTTTCCAGGCTCTCCTCAGGGATCTTGGATTGTTCATTGTGTGCTGTCCTTTGGCTGCCAGAGATTCCCATTCCCCAGCCCCTTCCCCTCGCTCCTCAGGCATTTCCTGGTCGCATCGCTCAGCCCTGGGAGGCGGCTGAGGACAAAACACAGAACCCACCACGGATTCCCCAAACATCCCGTCCGTCTGTGGACCAAATACCAAACACAACAATTTCTACAAGGACTAATCACGGCTTGTGCTTACTTCCTTCCCTTGCCTGCCCATAAGTGGAAGTGTATTTTTAAACTGAAATAATCAGCTGTTAGGGAAAAAAAAAAAACCAAACAAACCCTCCTGCGATTACCACCCCTTTCTCATCGCCACAGCGACTTGGATTTTCTAATGCAATTTGAAAATTAATGGCTAATCCTGAACCAAAGGAGCAGAATCTTTGCACGGTAGCAGTCACACCAAAAAACATTTAGACACAGCGTTTTGTCACTTGGCTTTGCACGCTCAGGTCCACATTTACAGAATCCCAGCCATGAAGACGGCAACGGAAACGGTAGGAAATAATCTTTTATCCATAAGGAAATTCTAATTCAAGTCAAGATTTCCGCTGATCAGATAACTCTTAAACAATTTTTTTTTTGTCTGAAGGCAAATATTGATCACAGTTTTGTTCAAAACCAAAAACACAACAAAAAAACCCAAGGGCCTTGTTCTTCTCAAAACGAGCGCTTTGTAAGAAAACAACGATGATTTCTAAAATATATCCTGTGTGGTCTTTTAAAAGTGAATTATCAAAAAACATTTTCCCAAAAATAAATTAGATAATTAAAAAAAAAGTCTTTTCCAGCATAGCTGGACATTAGGCTGTCCTCACTGAGCCATTAGTATTGCTGCTTTTCCCAAAATTTGGGTCGTTTTTTTCAAACCATATTTCAGCCAGCTGTTGTGTGGACCCATAAGTTGAAGCTTTGGACCCCAAGCACATTTTATATTGTTTTGGATCAAGATTAGGGTCACAAAAAACAGGGTGATGCACATGGACTACTCCAATTTCTTGGCTTCTGAAAGTTTTTAAGCCAGCTTGAATGACTTTGTTAAACAGATCTACGTCTTCAAGGCCCCAACCTTGGATGGAGACATCAAAGCCACCCGCTCGAAGAAGGTCACCTTTGTAAATACAGGTGATACCAAAGCCATAGTTCCTCCAGAAACCTGTTTTCTGAGTGAAGGCAAAATGATTGTCACTAGGAACCTTTCCACTATAAACAATCTTTGGATCATACTGGCTAAAAATGATGGGAAAATATACTTGCTGACCCAAAACTGTATTGGCTCTACACCGCTGGAGGAATTCTGTGGTAAACACTAAGTCAACATCACAGAAGAAAAGTAAAGACTCGTTCTGGAACTGAGAAGATCCGACTTCCAGAGCCAGTGCCCTTGAGAACTCCCCCGACACCGGCAGAACCTGCATGTCAGCCTTGGGGTATTTGGAGCGGTAATCTCTCATCAGCTCGATCTGCTTCGCTTTGTCAGGGTTGGAGTTGGAATTGAAAAGCAGAACAACCAGCTTGACGTTCTGGTTTGGAATGAGGCACGTCTTTTCAAAATTCCCCATGAACCTTGCAAACATGTCAAACCGTCCAGAGAGAGGGATCAGGATGTTGATCTTCTTGTCTTTGAGCTCCTTCCTTTCTGCTTTGGACCTGCTGAGCTGGAAAGGGACAAACATCTTCAGCGAGTTGGAGAGGAAGGACAAGGACCCAGAATCCTGGTTGATTTTGCTGGCCAGCTCTTTGGCGTCCATCTCTTCGTGCTCCATGAACTGGATCTTGCTGAAGGTCTGCTGCAGGTACGCGTGCCTCCTCACGGGGACCGTCATCTTCTTCCCCTTGTGCTTCTTGTAGAGAAGCAGCAGGTCCAGCACGTACTCTGCTCCGTACATGGGGTTCACCCTGCGGTATCCATACTGAATTTCCTTGAAATCAATGATTCTCCCCCGCGTCTTGGCGTTGGCGTTGATCATTTCCATGACCTGCATAACGATGTCATCCAACGCCTCGCGCTGGGACGAGTCCATCCCTCTCCGAGGCGGCTGCCCGTCAGCACCGGAATACAAATATTTTCCTGTAAGGAACTCCCACTCCAGTATCTCCTCCCGGTGGCGGGGCTGGAACCGCATGAAGGAGGGCGGCATCCCCAGCTGCAGGTCCTCCTTGTGGATTTCGGTGTTGCTGTACTTGCTCATGAGCACGATCTCGCGGTGCAGCTGCACGGTGCGGTGGCGCAGCTCGGCGATCTTGCGGCTCAGCATGTAGCTGTGCAGCCTGTACTGGTACGGGGGGTTCTTGTTGGGGTGCAGCGTTATGGCTCGGTGGATTTTGCTGTTCCTCAGGTCTCGGATGTAGCCTTTTTTGTTCTTCTCGTAATTCTCGTAGAACAGCTGCTGCATCTAGAAAAGAGAGGGAGAGGAGAAGTCAGAGTCTCGGCAGTGCTGACCCTGTGAAAGTTTGCCCACGCAACCCCGCTGGGACAGAATTCCCCCTCGCTCACAAGGCCAGAAGGCTTTCTGAATAAGCTGTCCTTGGGTTTAGGCACAGGTTGTAGCAATACCAGCTGCTATTCAAGGAAATTAAGAGGATTATTCATTGTAAACTGGTGAAAGAAACATCTATCATGGATTTGGGATTACTACAGCCCATTCTAGAGATATCACCGGCGGCTAAACAATTCTGCAGTAAGTCGATTGTAAGCTCATTTCTTCACAACAACACACCATCACCAGGAAAATAACACCGTGAAGTGTTCACTACAAAACTCTCATTATTCACCTCCCATTGTTTTAATATTAATAATAAAGAAGAAGAAAAAGGGATGCCATGTACATACTAAGCAAATCTGACACATTTTCCATTATATCCAAATGCCATCCAGGCTGCTGAATGTTTTAGTCAAGATGCCAAATATGTTACCTCAAGTGCTGCAGTGCAAAGCTACAGCTGTCATTTTAGTGGACAATAAAGTGTACCTGACATTCCTAGAGTTCCAGAGGTCAGATAATACAGGATGCATGTGTACACCAGAATAAAAACATCCTTAAGGTGTCATTTGCTATTTCAAAACAAGAAGATTGAGAGTTGAGATTAGATTCTCAAGTCTTAGGAAAGCAGACAAACCAGCTTTACAGTTCAGAGTAGCTCAGGCAATAGCTGATACCATGAAAGACAAACCAGGATGATAATGTGGAAAACAAACTGACAAAAAAACCTTGAGGCCATAGGTATATACCAGCTTAGATAATGGAAATTTAAAAAGACCACGGGCAGATTCTCTGTCACAGCACAAACATCATCAACCTGCCAGAGCTGACGCAGCACCTTCATTCAATAAGGGATCCAATCTCTGTTACTGGCAGTGGAATCTGCCACGGGAAACACAGCAATAAAGCTTGTGGAAAAGGGCAGTACAGGTCAGCAAAGAGCCAAACTCAAAGAAGAACCAGAGAGAATGTCTCAAATATAATGGCAATCAAACACAGCACTAAGAAGAAAATCACCAGCACAGAAACCTTCCTTTTCCCAGCTGCTCAGAGCCAGCACAAGTCCTGTTTTATTAGGCTTTTGGTTGCATTTTTCCCATTATTGTGGACAGACACTGAATCTCAGGGATAAACTTACACCTGGATTTAATTGCTGCTATCTTAACAAGCTGGCTGTGCGCATGCTGAAAGCTGACATTCGGCGTATCGCTGCCGACAGCACGGAGCAAGCTGAGCCCACTGGGAGCACGGATTTTAATCTGAGCAAATGTAAATCACTGCAAAGGAGGGAGGGAGGGATTTCAGCCAGACTGAGAAAGAAAGGACATTTATTTCGTGGGTCACCAGCAGTCCCCCACCCCCTTCTCCTTCAGGTTCACCTTCTTCCCGCTCTCCCCAAGTGATCCCTGCTGCGTGCACGCTGTCTGGGAGCAATCCAGGCCAGAGGATGGATGGATCTGCACAGCAACACGGCCAAAGGAGAACATCTTGGCCATGGCCCCTTGGCAGGCCTCAGATGAGCTGCCTGTCGAGATGTATAATATCCCTTTAGAAGTCATGCAAGATTTAAAAGAGCGCTATGGGCAGAGGTTAGCTGGTCTAATCCCACGTCCAGCAGAGTCATCCAAACTGAATGAACCTCATGCTTTCCCAAGAAACACAATTTTTCCACTCACCCAAAAGACTGTTCTTCATTTGTATCCCCGTATTGTTTCTTCTACTAATGACACTTTATTTTTTGGGTCACTTTGAACCTCACTGTTGCTGTGAAGGGCTCTAGGAGACCTTAAATCACACCTACTTAGGGTCAGTCCTGTGAGCACCATTTATTGCAGTGGAGAGCTCCCACGGGAAGAACAGGATCAGCCCAACACTGCAGGACTCACTCATTTTACTGACAACACTGAGCTATCCTCTAACACTACGCATATGTAGAACTAAAAGTATTAAATGCATATGGTAACCAATTTCACTGACATTTTAACAACTACAGGCAGAGGCTTTTCCAGGAGTACTGTGACATCAGATAAAAATTCTTAAATCACATCATTAGGCCACCATTATTTAAAGGAAAATTGACATTAGGATTTAATTTCAAGTCTTGCTTTGAATTTATAAGACAACAAAATCAAGATCACACAGCCTGAATGCATTTACTCCAAAATTGCTACCCAGGGCATTCTGAAAAGGAAACCATGAGAAGCAGAAGGGCTTTCAGATTACACAACAAAATTTTAATAGAATACTGATGGGTAGGAAAATGTTATGAAAGTTCCCAATGGAAGTGAAGATAGGAACTCCTAGCAAATGGCACAAATTAAAATTAAGCATATTTTAAAGCTCTGGTTTGCCACTCAGGAGTAACCTCTTAGGTAGACTGGTTACCTTCTAATACTCCTTCCTGCTCCTTCCCAAGACTAGCTGGCTTCAAAAACTGAAAATAAAACATCTCAGTAAGACTTTATTGAGGCTTCAACACAAAGCAATTTACAACTGAAACATCTATTAACAGCCACCTTGCTCCAGCCAGAAAGGTGACAACTACCAGAGCCCTGTGCTCCAGCCAGCCCTGCAGTGCAGCTAATGAGAAGCACCACAGTAGCCAGGCTTTTCTATAATCCTATTTTTCAGGAGAATGCCTTGCAAGGCTGGAACATTCAATGTTTTTCCCATGAAGTCTCCCCCTCTCCTCCTGCAGTGTCCCCCCTGTCCCCTGGCACTGCTGGCACAGGATCCACAGCTCCGATCCCCCGGGCCGCAGGGAACACCAAGAGGGGCACTGCAAGGGGTTAATCAACTGCCTACAGAGAGTACAAGGAGTCACAAACTGTTTTTTCACAGTGACACCAAGTGCTGTGCACTAAGTCCAAGTGGCCAGTGGCCAAGGGAGCAGTTTAACCCCTCTCCTGCCGGGACACTTGACGCAGTGCCACAGCAGGGCTGTGAGGCCCAAGGGCTTTGCCCCAGAAATCAGCCCCATGTGGATTGTGTTTGCTCACCCACACCTACAAACCTGAAGGAAATGAGCAGTTCCCTCCATGCCATTTGACAGCTCCACCAACACTGATTTGTTCAAATCATTAAGGCTCCCCAGCATTGGGTTCAATCACTAACCAGAGCAATGCCCAACTATCACAAATCACTGCTAAGATAACTTCTTACCATATTTGTGTCTAAACCTCTATGCTAAATATCACCAATTAGCCCACACTGGCTTCTGACTCCATGTGACACTGGAAAGCCTTAAGGAAGACACAAAATCATAATTAACTCTTGTGTACATCATCAATAGGTGGGTGGAAGAAGGCCACAGAGAAAGGAATACCTGTGATTTGCTCCTCCCCATCACTAAAGACACGAGTGGGGAGTGACACAAGCCCAGGACGTGCCAATCTCCCCATGCCTGTTACCAGAGCCTTGAGAGCTGAACTCTTGAAAACTCTTCTTCTAGTGAAACAGGTTTCTCTATGATTTTTTTTTTTAAAAAGAACCTTTCATGGATATTAATTTTGCAATGATTATATTCTAAGCATGCTTTATTCTAGTGCAGAGCACTGAGAGCATAGGGATACAAAGAAGAGCTACTCTTTATTGACCACTATTTACTCTAGACCTGTTGAAGCCTTAAAAACCCTAATGTTCCCCAAACCATTAGAGACTGAATGTTTAAACTGTGGTACAGCTGTTGTGGGCACTGCTGGCTCATGTCCAAAAGACCAACTGAAAGGAGAGAGTGTTACGTTCTTCGTTTTAAATGAAGAAGTCTTTTGCAGGCCAAAAAAAAGTGTACTGGAGAAAATGGACTTTAAAAATAAGACCAGTTTATGCAGAACCTGGCCCGTAGCCACGGATTAGCCCCTGAGGGCTTTCTCTCACAGCTCCAGATTGTGCTACCAGAGCACAGACACAGCCCCACAAGTCTCACGAAAAGCAATCATGGATAAGACATGCTGTATGGCAGGTTTTGAAATGCCCAAGGTGGGCTCTAAATACAAAGCCCAGCTAATTAAAAGCCTGAATGATGGTTAATGTCACCTAGCTCAGAGCACCTCTGTCAGGAGATAAGGATGTGGGTCCCAGTGTGGAGCTGTCCTCCTACAGGAGCAATGCAGGTGCTGGGACAGCCCCTACCCTGCCCCACAGCTCTGCAGCCAAACCCAGGCAGGATCCTCATGTCCATCTCCTCCTTCCAAAGATGTGCCACAGCTGGTGCAAGGGGGCAGCTCCTGTTGGCTGGCTGAAGTGAAGTTAAAGTCCTTCTGCTTCCACATCCCAAGGAACTGCATGAAATAATTGTAGCTGCACTAGAACAATTTTGCCACTTTGCAACCACAAACACATCTCCAGTTTTCTGGCTTATACATCACCAATACAGTTCAATTGATGAAAAAATTTGCCAAGGGAATGGAGTAGTAGAGCTTTGTTTACTGCTGACTTGCCTCTGCTGGAGGGGAAGACTGCAGGAACCTCCTGGATACAACTCTGTGTCTTCAGGGTTCTTTCTGTTTAAATCCTGGTGCTTTATATCCCACAGCTAAACACTGCCATGACTGAAGCCACTCATCAGAGTTATTATGGTGGAGACAAACACGGGGAAGCAATGGATAAACACTCATTTCCAGTGAACTTGGCCACTCGTTCATGGCTTTAACCTCCCCAGTTGCCACTACAGGAAAGGATGCAGGAAACGCCACTCGGCGCTGGGAGATCAGACTTCCCTCTCTGGAGCACAATTAAATGATGTGATTCTTCAGACAAGTTACTTCTCACACCGATTTCATCAGGTACCACTGGTCCACGTTTGCTTTGTTTCATAAAGAGAAGCAAGAAAATCATCCTGAGCAATCAGTACTCAAAATTTCCATGGCTGGGGTAGCAGAGGCAGATCCAGCTGTGACCTCTGGGTGCAGTAA